GAATAGTTACATTATCGACACGACGTAGTTGTGGACTACTACTTAGTTCGTACGGCGCCCGTTGGCGCTACAAGCAACCCCCCCGCTTGCCCTCCGATCCCCGCGCCTACTCCGCGAATTTTTGACGCCGTGTGTACGTCATGGCAAGCTCAAAAAAGAGAGGGAATCGAGGAAATACTGGAGCGTACGCATTGACGTGTCTGGANGTGTCGTGTGTGCAACGTGTGCAACAAATCATAGAAATTATTATAAATAGTGTTGTATTATAAAAAATACGCAATNGTGTACTGTTAAGCTTGTCGTGTAACAGCAACAGCTGTTTTGATCAACAAAACTTATACAACATAAAAAAAGAAAAAGTAATACAACGTGTCTGAATAAGAAACCAAAAACTTAAAGAAGACAAAATTTGGACCCCTAACTCTTTATAATATTCGCAGCATCATCATGTATCNATTTGCATATTTATAAAAATCTTTTGTTTGTGTGAATACGTAATTAAATTTTGATCATTTAGTTGGCTCTTCTGGTTCACTGCGCGACACCCAAAATGTGCAATTGGTACAGATCAGCCAAAATCGCTATAAGAATAAGATACCGACCTAATATTGCAGCTATCAGTTTCAACGATTTGAGAAAGATTTATAAATCGCGTTTGTCTGTGAAACATAAAATGAAGTTTTCCGGAGTTTTTAAATTTATGAAGTGACGGCAATTTTCCATTAAAAAATGAATTATGTTACACAGTATTTTAAAAATATTTTTATTATGATGACTGCTCGTATATTGCTGTGCATAGCTTGTAAAGTTTTAACTATTAAAATTTAATTCGAGTTTTAGTATATAGTTGTATACATATATAGTAATGCACATTTGAATAAAAGTATGCAGCACTAATATGCAGGATTATATATAGTTACAAATTATGGAGCATATATATTATATATATGTCATATATAAACGGGGCGATTGCTATATGTATATACGATTATACTTAAGTGCGTCCTATGTATTATTCACTATGCATTGTGAATATTATACAGGGTGATGCAAAACAACCCGTTATCCTTGAAAATACATATTCTTATAAACTACATGTGACTAAATTTTAAGACAACGTTTTATTTGGCAAAATTTTGTCTGAAGCTTACGTTTTGAGATATTAATAAAAATAGTTGATTTACCACAAGTCGAATACAAGAGATAGGCAAGGGTAGCGCAACTCACCGTGATTGGTCACGTTCAGCAGACTGAGCAGATCAGTGAACGCTTAGTGATTCTTTAATATGATTGAATCTTGCCTTTAGATCTTCACTGGATCTAAGTGTAAAAACCAATCATATTGAAGAATCACTAAGCCTCACTGATCTGTTCAGTCTGCTGAACATGGGCATTAATAGTGATTTATGTGATGCACGGATTAAGTAATAGAACTTACGAATGAATAAATAAGTAAGTGAGAAAAAAGAGAGAAAGAGAGAGAGAGAGAGAGAGAGAGAGACAGAGAAAGATACAGAAACTGTGTGTAACGATCAGATGATCACGTCAGGAACAACACATAATCGGTCGCGCGAGATGCGTCATCCCTGTCTACCTCTTGTATCCGACTTGTGGTAAGTCAATTATTTTTCTTACTAACTCAAAAACTAAAAGCTTCAAACAAAGTTTTGCCGAATAAGTAGTTTTATTAGAATTTAATCAAAACTATATATTTTCAAGGATAACGGGTTGTTATGAATCACCCTGTATATATATTTAATGTTTACAATATTTTGTGTATAATTTTATATAAACTTCTGTTAATCTGCTATGTAATTATGTATAAGTCATTACAGTATATATTTAAGTATATATACGGTGTGCATCATATATAAAGTACAACAAATATGATTTAGATATAATCATACATAATTATGATAAACGGTATGAGTTGAAGCACAAACTTTCGCGTAATGTACAACGCAAAAGATATAAAAGAATCAATCAACTGAGCCTTCTATTTTCATTCTTTACTTCTTGTTCTAGAATGCTTTGATTAGTCGATTCTTTTATGCGTTCTCCATTATGCTAAAGCTTCGGCCTTGCAAATATCGCTTTATTATTTAAATCCGTATTAGATTTCCTTCGCAGTCTATAAGACGGTCACTTGAATCGGAACAAAAGACGTCATAAAGTTTGAAAGCGACATCACAAAGATATCAGTAACTATAATAGCAGATTCTGTTTGATATCACCTCTATTATATCTTTTGTAACGATACACTTTTTATTTGTTTCTGTACTTTCGCTGTGTTTCTTTGCTTGCATGTGGATGCTTTCCAGTTAGCGACACAAGTCAACACAAAAATCATTCTGTTCTCTCAATATTCATTGAAAAATAAAAATAAACTAATTTTTGTTTCGGCTTGTGTCATTACCTGAAAAGCACCCGTTGTTACACTATTTACTCCGATACACAGCAGAGTGAAATCTAAAGGAAAGTCTTGATTTGATGTGCACAACATATCTTTGAATACTGTTTTTTTTTTTGCTGTATAAACGTGTTTGTTTTGGTGTATAAATACAAGATTATGCTACACTAGTAATCTAGAAAAAAGAAAATGTAGTTATTTCTAGGTATGGTCCACGAACGCTATTGTTTGCATTAGTTATGGTACTTATTCATTAAGAATCGAATATATACTGGCTTTATCATAAACATTAATTTTTAAAAGTAATAATTTAATAAATATTAAAATTTGATTCTTTGTAATTTCTTGATAATTCTTTTGTAAATATTAATGTATGTTGGGATGCATCGTTAGAAACTCAATATATATAAATTTCACTTCAAAATCCATTTTATTTCGATTTACAAAAAGTAGTTTTTTTAATCACACTCCATATTTTTTAGTCACAACTCACAACCAACCCGTAGTGTGTATTCAAAACAACAGCAAGAAAAAAGCAATAATAATAAGTTGATGTCAATTTACAGAAAACAAAAAATTTCCTGAAAACAATTGTCTGTTTTTAAAAGATTTATCTATTTTTTATATGCTTGAGTTCGCAAAGTTAAATTAAATCAATTTTGATATCGTTACAATAATGTTGAGATTAGTAGAGTCATAGTTTCCACTAAATAGTCATTATTAGATTCATGTATATTAAGACACTTGGTATATAAATTTTTTTAGATTGCTCATTCTTCCAGAAATTTTGCATATCTTTTCCAGATAATTGTTTGTTTTTGCTAAATTGACAGCAAATTACTTAATACTTTTACATTTTCTTGGTATTTTTCTCGACGATAAACTATTTATTGCTCTTGTTTTATTTGTCCATTAATAGCAGCTGCAACCTGTTCAGTATTAATTATTGATATATGATTGCTATCTACGTAGTGAATTTGTACATTTTTGCTTATCTGCGACAAAAACACATTTGTTATATAAAAATATATAAGGTAGGACAAACAAATATATTACATAAGAAAAGTGGAATTTGCTACGTTACCTTATTTAGACCGAAATCTTCTTCTGCCGAAGGAAGTAATGAATTTGTTGCTTTCAATAATATTATAGGTGACCGGATTGAAACCAATGAAGACATATCATATTCTCGAATAGCAATTAAATGTTTGTAAATTGTTGTACAAAATATTTTAATAGAATCAGTAGAAATCGTATTGGCTATTTCAGAGTTATTTTTGATTAAAATATTTAGTTTTTCTTCCCAGGTAACATATTTACTCATTTCTGATATAATCTGAAACAAATATTAAACAAATATTAAAATATTACCTGTTAGTAAATGTTAAATATATAGAATATGTTTCTATTTGCCATAGTTTTAATGTGTCAGCGCTATATATATATGTATGTATGTGTATATGATATATTGTATAACATGTATGTTGTCTTTCACACATGTATGTGTAATATTATATATTACATACCACTTCTGATACAGGTATATTAAACACATCCATTAATTGTTTTAACACAATAAGTTGAAATTCTTGATTGTTAGTAAACGGGAAAAATGTTTCCTGTAAGTGTTTTAGGTACTTGGGAGCTCCGTCGATTAATACTAATCGTCCTCGAAAGTTTTTAGCTTCTAATTGTTTTACCATTTCAATAGCAATAAGAGATCCATATGAATACGCGCCAATTACAAATTCTGTAGAATCTGTTAGTTTTGATAAAATATGCTAAAAAATACAGGATTTTTGTAATTACTATTGCTTGTAAACACCATAAAACTTATAATTTCATTTCTAGATGTAAAAATTTCTAGTTTACTACATACAGGTAGAAGATCAGTGGCTGAGTGTACTACAGAGTGAGCAGATTCAGGAAGATTAATAGAACTATGTTGTAGGCATATTGCAGGAGCTTTAATTTTTGAAGCTATTGAGTTGTATACGTTAGCAAATCCTTCAATTCCTGGCAAAAGAAATACTTGGTTTCTACCTACTTCTCCTTGTGTAGAGAGCTCTATACAAATTTTTGAAAATATATCTAAGTCAGATATTAACCGGAAAAGATTAAAGACTTTTATATGTTGCGAGTTATCTGTGTCAAGTTGTTTTTCACTATTCTTTTGGTCGTACATATCTTTTTTAGCTATTTCTTTGAGCTTAGCAAAGGTAAGATTTCGGAGTTCTTGGATTGTGAAAAAGACACTGAATTCTCTTTCTACTGTTTGCTTAATTTCTAAACTCATCATTGAGTCCATGCCTAGTTCAGACAAGAGTACATGTTCTCCAACTCCTTTTAAAGTTTTTAATCCTATGTGTGTAAGAGACAAAGAGAGAGCGTTAAGTATGAAATTTATATACAAACATGTAAAAGTACCATTTGATAATGGAATAAAAAATCAATGTTATTGTTGATAAAAAGAAAGAGGGAAAGAGAAGAGTTTATAATATAGTAATTTGTATATTTACCCATAATGTTCATCACAACNTGCAGAATATCNCCAGANNNTTTCGATTTTGTAGCTACAATCATACTGCTTACAATCGGTCGATTCTGCATTAAGAAAGTGTTTAGTGATTCTAAACAAGATGATATTCGTTGTTGCAATGTTCCACTGATAACTAGTTCTTTATTGTTTTGTTGCATGTCAGCGACAAGACCGACGTCACCTATCGCACCCCACTGAATAGCCATGCCAGGTAATCCATCTTGCGCTCTTTTTTCGCAGATTCTTTCCATTATCGAATTGGCCATACCGTAGTTAGTTTGTCCAGGATTTCCCTTATCACAAGAAACAGATGAAAATACCACAAAATGTCGCAGATGAGGACACATTTTTCTAGACAAATTGTCCAGTTGCTTTGTAGCTAGAGCTTTCGACTGAAATGTTTCTTCAAATGTTTCCGGTGTTTGATTCGTGAAAATATTATCTTTTAGCACAACTGCGAGATTAAATATAGCATCTACTGGTCCTAATTCGTTGGCAGAATGTAAAATGGAAGCACAATCTTTATGAGTAGATGCGTCAAAACCTGTCATTATGTGCACATTTACTCCATACGATTTCCATAACTCTACTCTTGAGTTTTGATAACCCTTCTTTATACCATTTCGTGAAATGAGTATAATTTTTCGAGCGCCACGAAGAATCAACCAGTCAGTTAACTCCAGGCCAAAACCGCCTAAACCACCCAAAATAATATAAGATTTATGTTCATGACAGAAATATTGAGGATACGCGAGAATAGGAGCGTCCACATTTTTCTCTTCTGTACGTACTTTTATGATTACCTAAAAGTGAAAATAAAATTTAAAAGGTTTTAGTAAAGTTATAATTTAACTGTTCTTTATATTGAGACAGAAACACACAAAATAAAATATATTTGTTGTAATAAAATATATTTCCGACACATGACCCAAAACTATTTGTAGCTTTTATTTTTACATTTCTATTCAGTAATTGGTTTAAAGTTTTAATTCAATAAGTAAATAAATTGATAACAATTTGTAAAGAGTTGGCTACGATATTGTTGGTTACAAGAATATCGCAAAACATTGAAAGCCGTTTGCAAAGTAATCAGGTCTAAAGTTTTTGTCAACAAATAGCATTTATGTCATTATCGAACTATCGATAGCAGATTAATAACAGGAACTGCATAATCTGGCAAAGCCACATATTCAATTCTACTGCAATCTTAAGAGTTAAGTAACATTTTGCTAAGATTGTTATTGTTATTTTTTACTTAAACATTTTGATTTGAAATTTATGGTGGAAAAAACCACTGTGAAAATGGGTATAAGTACACTAAAACGTTTCTTTGTTAATTCTAAATTATTATTTTTTTAAGTAATGTATATATAAAATATACAACCTCGATCACGCATGACGCGACCGCCTTTAGTTGCTAAACATAGTATTACATTTTGTTTGAAAATTGTAATTTTAGGTTTACTTTAACTTACTTTTCCTATATGTTTTGCAGCTGCCATATGTTTAAAAGCGGTTTCTATCTCATGTTGTTCAAAAACTTCTCTTACAAGTGGTACGATCGCTCCACGCTGAATCATAGTGTTTATCGAGTTACGAATATTTATTTTTCTTGATACATCAGTACTAATAAATAGTTTATCTAACATAACTCCATAGAAACTAATGCCTTTTGAAAATTCTTTTAAATTTATAGTATTGTTAGATAGTAAATCATACTTTCCAATTTCTAAAAAGCGACCACCTTTTGCCAAACACCGAATAGATGCTTGCAGTTTTTCTTCTGCTAAAGAATTTAGCACGATGTCCACACCTCGACCTCTTGTTTGTTGACTAATCATTTGTTCGAAGCTGGTGTCTCGAGAATTTCCTATATGATCTTCAGGAATAGAAGGAAATTTTTCTCTTATAAACTTTCGTTTCTCAGGTGTTCCAACAGTTGTGAAAACTTCACATCCTTCAAAAAGCGCGAGATAAATTGCAGATTGCTCAACGGCACCAGTTCCGGAATGGATAAGAATTTTATCTCCTTTCTTTAATTTTCCACGTGTGTACAAAGCATAATAACTCGTACAATAAGCAACTGGGACAGTTGCAGCATCCTCAAACGTCCATTTGTCAGGAATGATCCAACAAAGTTGTGGATCAGCCACAATAAGATTTGTGATTCCTCTAAAATGGTTTACTTAAAGTAGTACTTTATAAAATACACATATTGTTTTTCTATGTTTTAACAGTAAACTTTGGCGTTTGTAGACAGAACATTCAATGCGTTACGCGTGACACGAAACAACACGGTAGCATTTTACTCATAGAAAAGCAATAGCAAAATATTAGGTGGCGTAGCTTTTAGTCATACCTAAAGCATTGACTTGTTCTATCTGTAAAAATGTCTAAAATTAATTTTTATCCATACTTAGATAAAAAATATATGTGCGGTGCACGCACATATGCATGCACAAGAAGTGCATAATCACATAACTGAATAATATTTAAATAGATTCTTTGTTTTTACTATCAAAATTCAAGTAACTTTAAATTTTTTTGTATGTTCCGGCTTAAATAAGGTCGCGCAACTCGTGTCAAAACAGGAGAAGATTGTGAATTACATCCATCAGTTCAATCTTGAAAAATTGAATTATTGGAAATAACTGTTTTGTGTATAAATTGTAACAACTAATAAATTTGTGTTTTCCATACCTTACAGTAGATACTCCCATTATTCTTTCACCAGTTGCATTGAACCCGACGAATTCAAAACCTAGGAAAGAATCGACTTTTCTTGCTTCTTTTTCAGAAGTATCCAGAGGAATTCTACCAGTAGCTATCATAATATCCTTGAAATTAAGTGATGCGTAAACTACACGTACGAGATTTTCTTGTTTGTAATCAGAAGATATCGGGCCTTCAACCCAACGCAACTTGCTCAAATCACCTCGCACCTACAACAAATATCAATACTGTTGTAATAAAAAATACACAATAGGAAAATATCATAAATTACTTTATAAATTTATATAAACATACACTCTGAGCGACATAACCATGCTGTACCAATTTTGGTTTTAGTTGTGGTAACGGAAGATGTCTATACGATCCCCAAACTTTGTTGGGGCGTAAAATATTAATAGGCAAGTCCAAGTGTAATTGATTTATGTATAGAGAGTCTTCTAAAGAGAATTTCGGCGCATTTTCATCTTGGATAAATACACATCTAATCTTGTCATCTGTTTTGTTCAGCTCTTTTCGTAAACAATTGATAAAACCCAATATGCCACATTCAAAATCTTCCGCAACTAATATTGTTCTTGTGGATGCGTTTAATTTATCATCCATGTTTAATGCAGACTTCAACTTGTTAATCCACGAAAAGTCAGAGTTATTTATATATATAACTTCTTGCGGTACAATGCTTTGTGTTTTTCTTAAAAGCACAAATGCCTCTTTCTCTGTACGTTTCTCTAAAACTATATTCAACTTATATTGTTGTAATAATGTATAATTGTAGGACTCAGTGAGATTTTCTCTTGACAGCACAAAGCAACCTTCCTTTAATGTAGACAATAATGTATTGATTAATTCACTTNTGTTTTTTGTTAAAAGTTTGAAAACAATAATCATTAGGAAATTGTTATCTTTTGTCAAATTGTCGGANTGCTTGATATTTGGAGATAATTCATTATTTTTGAAACGATTAGCTGGAGCAACCAATGNAACATTTGGTTCGATCATTGGCAAATTATTTAAAATGTCATAAAGGATTGTAGAGATTAGATCTTGCTCTGTAACTGTGTCAACATCTTCAATTAATTCAATAAAATTTGCCTNTAGTACTGGATTACATTCAAGCGAGATATGCGCTGATATTTGTATAATTTCTGTTAGAGACATCACAGCACGATCACAATGAGCAATAAAACAATATTCATCATGAATAGGTTCAGTAACTTGTCGAGGTATATTTGTAGCCATAACGCCATAAATTTCTATTCCTCCAGATATTATAACGTCCAGAGAATCATAAACGCGTACAGAAAAGTCTGAAATAAAAANTGTATATCTNCANTANAGAAATTTAAAAAGAAAAGAGAGTGAGATAGCATAATAGAGATGTATAATGGTAGAGACAGGAGAGAGATTGTCGATAACTGTTTCACAAAAAACACTCGATGTAGAAGAATGTTTGTGATACTACTTTGAAATGTCTGGTAGTGAGCATGGTAACAGATATTGCACATATGTACCATAATTTAGATCTTTTGCCATGACAAGATATGTGTTAATATTAAGAGTATTACCTGTGTGTATGTATGTGTGTACAGAAAGTTTCTTGTTTTCTTTATATTATTTTTTACTTACATTTTATCGTACAAATTTTATCCATAAAATATGATATGTGGAGTATATTTTATTATAATATACTTACTCGCTTTTTCATCAGGCGTAGTTTGTATTTGCTTTATGTGAAATTGAGGATCACTCTGAGAATCATTACGTTCCAAAATCTGTAAGTGAGGAAAAACCAAATCACTCTGAGAATCATTACGTTTCAACATTTGGTTTTTCCTCACTTACAAATTTTGGAACGTAATGATTCTCAGAGTGATCCCATCTATAACAGCAATATAAAAAAATGTAACCTATATAACTATATAAAATATATAACTATATATGATATTAGGTAAAATGAAACCGTATTTTCCATCAAAACAAAAAAACAAACAAACTTTATTAGAGGAGATATCAATGGTGTTCCACGACTGACTGGAAATTGTATTGGCGGATATAAGTTTGCAACTTGTGGTTGACATCCGATATTGTAAAGATTCCCAATTCCTTTCAAAATGCTATCTATATTATTTTGTTGACGTGTTGAAATAATGAAATATAGTTTGAATCCAAACAGTTTTTCGTAAAAAATTGCCAATTATTATATGATATTATTTCAATAACTACCACATTTTTCGGTATTATAGGTAAAATTTCTTGAAGTGACGAATACACTGCACTGTGTGCATAATATTCTGCAGCAGATAACTGCGTAAATGAGGTGTATATTTTATTGTGAGGCAAAAACTTGTTTAACCATTTCTTAGTATACTTAAAATTTTTCATAGATTTATATGGTGCTATTTGATTCAGATATTCTAGTAGCTTTAATTTAGTAGATTCTGCATATTGATTAGAAGCAGCAGAAATATAACCACACTGAAAAAAACACATAACAATACAGTAACATGCGCATGTACACAGAATAAAGTACTTACACTTACTTACCTGTTCTACTTTTATTTTATCAAACGCAACACTCATATAATACGCCATTAAAATTGTTTCCTCAACAGTAAAAAGTTCATCCACATATCCGCACAAAAGTTCACCAATCGACTGACCAAGTACATAATCGGGCACAATTCCAATATGTAGTAAAAGATCTACTATTGCAATCTATATAAAAATAACATAACACATTCTGTTATAAATAATATATCATAACATCAGAACTACTCTATCGAAATACAATTTACTGGCTGGTTTAAATGCCAAAAACTAGATATATGTTGTATATGTGTGCAAAATTATTAAAATATAAATTACACACATTTTAAATTAAATGTAATTGTGTCACGCAGTCGCCACAATTCAACAAATATAAAAAGAAATTCGTAAGTATACAAAACTAATTCTACAAACTAAAGTTTTTCTTTATTTACCTGAATACTAATGATTGCCACGAATGATTTTATACTGTCATTGCAAGTAATTTCGTTTTTATTTAATAAAATGTCCGTGACACATATACCATATGGTTTTAGTGCTTCATCACATTTCTGAATTGTTTTGACAATTATTGGTAGTTTCATTAATTCTTTGCCTGAAAAATAACAAATAAAAATATTTTTCATATGTATGAATTCAAAGTGTACATTCAAACAAAAACATGTTTAAATAAACAAGAAATATATATTTCCAATAAATTAACTTTAAAATCAAATATATAAAGAGTTCTTTTGAGGTCGTTATGGTGTAAAGAAAAGCAAGAAATAGGAAGTAACGGCAAGTACAAACCGAAATGTATGTAACGTGGAAAATAAGCAATAATGTGACAAGTATGCATTTCAAAATGGTATAGTTATATTTTCAACCTTTTAAGTTGGATATAATAAATGGTGAAAAAAAGAAATTAAAAAATTGATTCAAAAACTCACGTGTAAGATTTATTCGTGAATACATACATATATATATATATATATATATACATATATGTATACACACGCATATTTACACACAACATTTAGCGAACAGTAGCGCTCTTATTACCGCGTTTATATATTTCTAGTTTAATCTTCAGAACCTAAAGTCCTTTAATTGGTAAAAAAATGAACCCATTATCTAAACAATTCATATAAAAAAAATCCACATCATTGTGCGTCGAACAGTTTGCAGTCATTGATCTACATACTGAATTATAGCATAGAAACAATAACTTAACAACGAATATAAATAAATAGAGCAAAGAATATATTGACATAAATTGAAATTGATAGTTTTGAGCATCTTTAGAGTGAACGTGCTTGTCTACAATACATACATGTGTGCGTATGAGTGTGTACACATATAATACTTTATATATTTCATAAATACTTTATATATTTCATATAATACTTTATATATATTTCATAAATCATGTATAATAACTTATTTAAATAAATACCTATATTACACCATATGACGTCTGTTCCGGGAAATAGAAAACAAATTTGTTTACTTATATTTGAATAAGTTGAACATTCTAGCTTATTAATTGACCTATGATCTTCTGTTAATCCAACTATAGTATATCCTCTATATGGGTGACGTTCTATATTTTTATTATAACTGCTGTGTAAAAGAGCAATATATTCTGTATCAATCGGCCGATTATGCACCTATAACGTAATAAAATACGTTGATTAAAAAAACTAAAACCAATAAAAAAAAGTAAATTGTTTCAAGATATAAGGATATAACTAATAAAGTCACTCTGCAAGTACTCATCAAAAAATGGCTTGAAACTAGTGTTTCAAAAACGCCTCAATGTCAGCTACAAGAATATGCGATAAAAAGGTTCTATTTACAAAAATCGATGTGACCTTGACATTATCCAAGGTCAACTTATTAACATCAGTAAATATATCGCTGTATACTTTGCAACTTTTGTTTCAAACATTGTTTTTAAAACTGAGTCTACTCTCCGAGAAATTTAGCCAGTTCGGACTATACAAAACACTCTAGTGTTTCATATTACTTGCGTCAGACAAATATCTTAAAAAATATGAGAAATACAAAAAATTATGTTTCAGAAGTTCTTAGATGCTGACTTTTGATCTGAAAATTATCTTCCCATTTGTGGTAAATTTACTTTCAAAAATTTTAAATGGGAACCCGTAGTTTTGCAGTTGACGTTGACAAGTTTTTCGAAACACTATCTACTTATTTCTTTTGCACAAGCTAATCTCAAGATTTAAAACTCCAGAATTAATTTAATTTTGGTTAAATAACAATGAAATAAAAAAAAACTACTTTGATTCTCGATTAATATAATTTCTAAGCTCTTACATCATCCAGAATCGTTTTAACAGCTTCTTCAGTACGACCAGACACAAGTCTAGGTAAGTCGTCTAGTTTTTTGATCTTATTTTTCGGATTTGATTTTAATAATACATGACAGTTTGCGCCACCAAATCCAAAAGAATTTACACCTGCGTACCCNCCATTCCAAGGTGTAAGTTCANTAANAATNTTNATTCTACCTTCAANAACAGCAGTAAGATCTTTTCACGGTGATTTGAAGTGCAGAGTTGCTGGAATTTTACCAGTTTCCATTGCTATCAGTATCTGTAAAATTTACAATTATGTGTACTATTATTACGTTACAGCAGAGTTTCCGTTGACTCAACTTTTCAGAATCGAGTTGTTTCTATGACTTTTGTCAGGTGTTACCCTCACTCTTTGTTGAATTTCTACAAATTGCGCATCATTGCTTATACTGCGTATATATTATCGAGTGACAATAACATAATTTTAACACTTTGCGGTTATTTTAAACCACGGCCAAATTTATTTAATACAGCTGAGTAATTGTAAGATAACTAAGAATACGATCTAGAAGACTTTTATAAAAAGTCTTACATTACTTTCAGGCTTAAAAAGTTGCTGATAATTTTTTGCAGGAAAGTTTCAAATGGTAAATTTACAAGCATTCTACGCATTTTTATATAAAAAAACATCAAAAGAATTTGAAAACGGAAAAGAGACTTGCGAGACGAGTTTCTAAGCGTGAAAGATGCAGAGTGTAATGTTTAAAAAAATGGTGTATCGTTTAGTAATATTAACTGACTGATTTTCACAATAAGAGATGCGTTTCAGCGGGTTTGCTTTGGACAATAAAACTAGATTGCTTCTTAAAGCGCTAAGCGCTTACAGCAAATACACACATGAACATGCGTTGTTCGTATGCACAGCTATTCAAACTAATACAACTATTTTATGTTTTCAAAATCCTAGAATTTATATTTTGAACTTTTTGTAGAAACATTATACAACAAATTAAAAATGGGTCATTTATTATAGTTTATCATATATATATATCTACATACTTTTGCTATTTGACAGATACCGCTAGCAGGCTCAGAATGTCCAAGATTTGATTTTATTGAGCCCATCAATAAAGGACTATTTCTGTTTTTACAGAAAACGTGATCAATAGCTTTANCTTCTACTGGATCGCCTACTACAGTACCAGTTCCATGAGCTTCCATATAAGATATCTCAGAAGGTGCAATTTTGCATTCCTCATAAAACTCCTCTAGTAAAGCTTTCTGCATTTCAAATGACGGATACGTTATACCTTCTTCTTTGAAACCATCGCAATTTGTTTTAACATTAACACATGTAGCGTAAATTCGTTTTGCATTTTTTGCTTTCTGCAAAACCAGCACTCCTATGGTGTCACTTCTCATGTAACCACTGCCTTTTTCATCAAAAGGTCTGCAGTAACCATCAGCGGACAATACTCCTAAAATTATTTAAATAATAATAGTTTGTCTTATGGACATGTTATTTCTCTGGTCAATTTTCTGCATTATTAATGTATAGTAGCCGTCATTCATGCGCGGCAAAAGAAATAAATTCTCTTTAGCGTTTTCGTACTACTGTGCTAATTTATTCTACCTGGCTATCTTATTTGATCGTTTATCATCAGCTAAAGATGACCAGCTAAAGCAGTCTGACGCAATAATAAAACAGAACTGGAAGAGAATTCATGTCTTTCACTTCGCACAATTTAATGTCAATAATCAGTATCATATTTTGTGATAAACTTGAAAACCAAATATGTACTGTGTAATAATAATATCATGGAAAAATTAACTTTACCAAGACTAAAAAATTGAAATGTCTCGTAAGGATGTACACATAGATTAAGGCCAGCTACAATGGCCGCATCACATTCTCCGTTTTTCATTCTTGTGTACGCATGAGCTAAAGCGAAAAGACTTGAACTGCAGGCTGTATCTACAACGTATGATGGTCCAGAGACATTTAACCAAGAAGAAATCTTGTTTGCCATGAAATATTTTGATGATGCGTATATATGGTCAGCTATCTATTACATAAAATATTACACATAAAATATAATTACACATACATATGTATATGTGTATACAAAGTGTCCAACAATTACTTTAACATTTTTTGTAGGCAGAGAGAAAAAGTAAATCTGAGTCAAAAAATTTTATATCATTTTGCGAGATTTGCAATAGTTATCGAGATCTTACGAGAATGCTGAATTGTCCTGTTATACCGACGGGATATGTCATTTTAGTAGAACTAAGTAATCTCATTAATTACTGAATCAAATCAAAAACGCTTTTCGAAACGTAAAGAACGTAAAGAAACACATATCTGCCTGGTCCTTTGACTACAGAAAAGAATCAAAAGGTACACTTGCCTACTATCACTTGATCATATTTTTCTCTTTTTAAATAATTTCTAAGCATTGTAAAACCACATGAGAGAGAGAGAGAGAGAGAGAGAGAGAGAGAGAGAGAGAGAGAGAGAGAGAGAG